GCTTTTTTAAAATAACAAAAAATATATAATAAATTAATAAAAAATTTGTCAAATTTTAAATTTTTAATATGGATCTTCGCCTTCGTTACACAAAAAAGTTCACTATTTATTTCTACTAGGAGACCATAGTGCATTTAACACCCCAATGGCAATGGGACATATATATATATGTATATATGTACGTGCGTACGAATTCATGACGATCTTAAAATTTAACTTAAAATGAAATTTTAACAATTGGAAGTGAGATTATGTAATATATATATATATATTTGTCTTATCAGAAGACATCACTTGAGCCTGAACTACCCAGTTTGGTTAGAGCAACTGAATAACGATAATCTTCTCAAAAGGCAGCAATGAAAAGTGTTACATCATAATGGCGTATATTTATGGCAGAAGACATATTTATAGGGTGAATTGTTTTTTCTTCCTTTTTTTTTCTAACTATACAAGAATGAAATGTATAGGAATTTTCATAGTTTTAGTTCAAGTGTGCTTTCTTATAAATGGTTTCGATAGCTTTTATTTTTATAAAGCACCAATAAAAGGTTCGGACAAATTTACGAGACCGAAAGGTCATAATGTTGGTAAACCATATCCAGTTCCTTTTGAAGAATATTATGAGAATAAAGGGCTTGATTTTCTTGCTTTTGGAGATTGGGGAGAACGAAGACCTGAGTCAGGACAATTTCAAGTAGCCGAAGCTTTACACACCTGGGCTAATAAAGATACATTATTTATAGTTAATGTTGGTGGTAAGTTTTAGAGTGTAATCGGTTATACAATATTTTCATCGAAAAATAAACACCTTTTTTTTTTTTTATTGTTAGATAATTATTATCAAAAAAACGATTCTCTTCCGTTCAATGATCCAAAAGACCACGAAGGTGTATTGAGTATAAATGATCCAAAATTTCAGACCTATTGGTTAAATGTATATCAAGGCAGATTGAACAAAATATATTGGTACACGGTGGCAGGAAATCATGATTGGTATACCAACTTAACCGCACAAGTGGATTACTTTTGGAAAAAAAACATACGATTTTTTTTCCCCTCACTTTATTACGTTCGAAGGGTTTATTTTGGGCCAAACAACAATAATTTGGCGGTCTTTATTCATATAGACACTAACCCATTTTACTACAAATATAAAACGTATGCCGAAAAAGATGACATGAAACGCAATCTTTTAGTTCTCAATCTAAATCATAAATCAAAAGTAGAAAAACGATTAAAATGGATAGAAGATCAGTTGATTGCCGCTCAGGACGCAGATTGGATTTTTGTTGTTGGTCATCATCCCCTTGTTGGTGCATGCCAAACAAAACACCCATCATCTTATTTAATGTACAAATTTCCACCACTTTTTAAAAAATATAACGTATCTGCTTATATTGGCGGTCATATGCATGACCTTGAACTCTCTGCTGCAAATAGTACAACAAGCGTTACATATTTCGGTGTAGGTGGTGGTGGTGCTAAGGGTACAGACACCTGTGGTGATGCGACATGGGCTGCACCTTATACTTTTGGATTTTTGCGTGTCAATATTCCACATGGTGATATTTTATACTTTGATTTCATAGAGGCTAACGAAACAGATAAACCTCCCCACATCTCTTGTTCGGGTAAAGTTTATTCTCGTAAATGGCATTGCAAATAAGAAGTTTGATTTTAGTGAGTTTTGATTATTTTCATATGTGCTTGATGTAACAAGTTTGATATTTGTAATTTATTATAAATTAAATCATGTTTTGAATTATGCGCGAATTAATTTTGGCGATTAAAACATGATGTTTAAAATGTGAATAAAATGAAATTTGGTTTCTGATAATATGTTTGTACAAACATCTCGGAATTTTGAAAGCGAATTAACAATGATGCTGGGAAATCATTGAATTATAAAATTGAAAACAAATCAATTTAATATTTTTATTCAAGAAGGAATAATAGAATTCTAAAAAAATTTTAAACATGAACTTTATAGTAAGACGCGTTAATTCTAATTTAGCGTGGTAGTTAATGGGAAATAGGGTTCGATATTTTAATTCAACACTAGCATTATTGGTGTACTAATTACGGCATCTACGGCGCCGTGAAAGCCACAAGCTGCTACTAAATTGAATTCGAACTTTTAGAATCGATTCCTTAGAATCGATTTTGAAAAATCGATCCAAAATATTCGAATAATGCGCCAAAGTTCAAATTTGCGTTATTTCGCGCCTATACGGTATATGTAAACAAACCTTAACCTCTAAATACACCAAGCGTAAACTACAATTGTTTTGGCGCCATACAATGTCACCGCTAAGTGTCTAGGCTCTTGGCGGGGGCCGGATTTGATGCAGATAAGTTACTGATCGATTAATCATGAATGTCAGAGTTTACAAACTTTGAAGGGACGTTCATTGTTAAAGATGGACAAAATGATTATCATTATGTGATACATATGTATTAAAGTTTATTTTTTTGAGCAATTCTTACGATAAATTTATTTTTAGTAACAAAAAGATGCGTACCTTTTTGGTTAATCACAATTTTAATTACCGCAAATATACGTATTCCCTATGATAATATTATTGCGGTTTGCAAAATGACTTTTGCAGACCATGATGTCATGTAAAATCGCGATAAATTTGGAGATTTTTATTTTGATAGACTATTTGAGAGAGTTCTTCAATTAAGAATAGTTCATAATTGGGATATTATGATCAATAGGAGAATTCTTAGATTTTCAGATTGACATTTTCCCAGACTAGTCCTCATTTAGAATCCCACTAACGTTACAAAAAGGTGTGAACAACGATTTCCACATACTCGAAGAATTGGGAAATTATCATTAGTAAAAATTGAAGATCCCGATTTGAAAGTTTTGGAAATCTAGGTAAATTTGTGAAGTTCCTGTGATATAGTTATTTGCGTCTGTTCACCTTTTTGAAAAAGATATAAAAGGCGGTCCGTCTATGGACCAGGGACCGGAAAATTTTTGGATCCAAATCAATCCAAAATTTTCCAAATTTTTTAACGTTAGCCAAAATTTTCCAAATTTTCGAGTAATTTGATTTTACGAATCCTGATTGGTTAGGAATTTGATCTAAAAAATATCGTGAAAGTACATACAAAATTTTCAAAAGAGCAAACTTTCACAAGCTAAGAAATGAAGTATTAAAACGCAAGAAAAGAATAAGAGACAACCAAGCAAAATCACAAAGCACAATTTAAAAAAAAATACCACCAACAAAGAAGGTGACAGCTTTTTCACGTGCTCAGGAGTTTTCTGAAGATTTTGTAGTAGATTCTACCAAGCTGATGTGTCACTTTTGTGGGCACAGTGTTAATTATGAGAGTAACCTCCCATATAAATTCAAAAATGTATAAAAAAAATTGAGAAGCTTATCGTAATAATAATCAAAGCACCCGACAACAAACTTTTCCCTTCTCAATGAAAATTGCTGACATAAAGAGAGAAATGGTCTATGATTGCTTGAAGCTTGGGTTGGTGCTGATATTCTATTAAAAAAATTTGATAAGTTTCGTAGGTTTTTAGTTAAATATTGTTATGAAGGTGATATTATTTCAAGTTCTAATGCATTGAGAAAACAGTATTTGACAAAAGTATTTCATAAGTATATAGAAAAACTTTGAGATGAATTTGTAGGAAAATCTGTTGCTATAATTATCAATGAGACTAATGATAGTTGTGCTCATAGTGTCGTTAATGTTTTATTCAGTTATAAGGGAAAGTCAAAGTTAGTTTCGGTAGAATTCTTACAAGAAGTCAATAATACCAGTATTGGTTAACTTGTTTTACGAATCTTAGGAGAATGGTCTATTCTTTTAACTTCTTCATGGCTTATAATATCAGACTCAGCAGCTTATATGAAAAAAATATGTGCATGAAATACTTGTTCTAACAATTTCACAAATAAGACATAATCCTTGTTTGGCTTATATTTTAAATTTAATTAGATATTTTTTTTTTCTCTTTGGCAACCTTGCTGGTAATTATTTATTAAGATTATTATATAAGTAAATTACATAATGTTGAGCTTAATATCTAGGCTAACATCCCTCAGTTATCTCTACGGATGCCCAAAAACAGTCTGCCACACTAGGTGGAGTTTTGTAGTCTCATGACCTAAAAGGTTATTATCAAGTTGTCTTAGAAGTCTTAGAGACTTCAAAGAAGTCTTGGTTTAATTTTAATAAGTTAAGTTTACCTGAATACTCTTTTGCTATACTACTAAGTAATCTTATTTTATTTAATTCTATATCTATTTAGCTATCTAAAATACTGTTCTTTCATAAAAATACTATGTTATCTATTTTTAAATTAATATTTTTTCTTTTTTAGTTTTTTTTATATTTTTTTTGCAGCAACTTGACCCTTAATCCTTTTAAACTTTTTTCTTATTCTTCTTTATTTTTTTGTTAGTTATTATTGATTCTCTACTTTGTATTAAAGATTTTTTCTTTATTTTTTTCTTTTTATTTTTTTTAGTTTGTCTTGATTTTCTTATTTCTTTTGCTTGGGTTAGTAATTTTTTGAATTTTTTAAAATCTTTTTAAGTAATTTCTTCTATAATATCTTCAATGTATCTTCTATTTGATTAATTTCTTTCTCTTCACTATCTATAATTCTCTTTTTTAATTTATTTTAAAGTTAAAAGTAGTTTATTGTTAACT